AACATCATACTATATTTTTGCGTCGCATTGTACTTTTTGCAATGTCAGGGTAATGAAGTTCATCGTGTAAGTAAAACGAGCACTTATTATTTATGAATAATAGGAAATACTAGGAGTCTAGCTAAACTATGTGCAAAATGTAATATTTTATAAAAAAATGTATTTAATGTTTTATGCTTCCTCATTATCGCATCGAAGAGTACTTTAAGTGATATTTTCACTAATAATCAATTATTGATAGCAATAATAAAAAAGGTTTTTTTATTGTAGTAAAAATTTTAATAACTTATTCTTATTCTCATCACAATAGCAAAAAATACAAGAAATAGTCAGTAAACATTACAAAGAAGGTAGCTTTGGCTACAAAAAGTTCATATTTGTTATTAACGAAGTAAAGAAGGCAACGGGCGCATCGGGAGAATTTCCCAGCCGTGACGTAGTGGAAAAATTATTTGAAGGTAATAACTAATAAACAATAGGATAATATACGATAAATGTGTTTAGTAAAACGTTACAAAATTAATGAAAAGTCATTTTAATAATCAAGTATATCAATTGTATAGCAGTACATTTTTTTTTTGTTTCTTAGTTGTTAAAATAAGAAATCATAACTTTTAAACTATATAAAAATTGATAAAATAGCCGGTACTTAACCGAAAAAAAGCGTAACGAAAAAAGCGTTATCAAAGAAGCGTTACCACACGGAGATGGGTTGAAGGTAGAAATAGGGGTAGGAGATAAGGGGGGGATAGGGTTGGGGTTGGGGACTGGAGATAGGGGTGGGAGATATGGGTGGGAGATAAGGGTGAGAGATAGGTGAGAGTGATAGGGTGGTATATAGGGGGGGGGGGTTGAGAGATAGGGGTGAGAGATTAGGGAGTAGGGATAGGGTGGGAGATAGGGGTGAGTGATAGGGACAGGAGATAGTGGGTAGGGGATAGGGGTAAGATATAGTAGATAAGAGATATGTTGTACGTTCAACGTTCAAATTAGAACTAAATAATAAATTCAAAATAGTTTAATTCTCTATAATAAGTTACTTTTGGCCAGATAATAAACACTACAATTTTAGCCAGAAACTTGATTGTACTTAATTTTTTAATCTCCTTGGCCTTATGCTGTAACTGGAAGCTCCATATAATTTTTTTTTTTTAATTATTATTCCACACCTAATCTAAATTTATTCGGTACTTCAACGAGACATGAAAATGCTCTTTCGTGGTTGCAGACTCGGCTGAAAAACTTTTTACACAATATTGTTCACAATTATTTTGGTTTTAAATTTGCCTAATGTTATTTTTTTAAAAGTATATTTAATATTTTGTTCTTTCAGGACATGTTTTTCTAGCCCAAGTTTTAAGCATCACCCAAGTAATGAACAGTGACTATGAAATAATGGTAAATAACAAACTATAATACTATTTGGAGTTTAGAAGTTAGTTAAGGGGTTTTTGAGGGGTTATTCAAAATATTCAACCTTTCCATTATTCTATGTAAAATAATTGGTTTAATTTATTCTTGTAAGTGTAACAAGTACTTCATAATTATAATTATTAAAATTTCTGAGATTATTGTGGTTACATAATAAATGTTACTTATAGCTTAGAAAATTAATCTTATTGTTTACCGTGTTTATTATTTGGCTAAAAAGAACTTATTTGTATTCTAATTCTGATAACTATAGAAATTGGTATGTGATGCATTTAAAACAAAGGAATTGATACCATATGGCCTGAACTTTGGCGATGTACATGATATTATCATCAAAACAAGAAAAGCAAAGCGTTTAAATACATCCATTGATGAAAAGATTGAATTGCAAAAGGAAATATTAGGTAATAAACAATAGAAAAATATTCAATAAATATGTTTAAAAACTATTGAAAATATATTTTAATAAGTCTAAAATGAATTGCATAAGTTTAAATTATTTGTTTATTTTTAAAACTAAGAAGCCATAACTTGTAAACCAGAAAATAAATTTAAAAAACAGAAGACCATTTTCTAGTAGTGTACAAAATAATTTTTAAATAATTTGAGTTATATGATCAGTTTATTTTTGAAAAATGTATATATTTTACTAACAATGTATAGGCTAATTTTACATTATCATTCTTCTGTTACAATAATTTGAAATGCAAGTCGTTTGCATGTGAATCACATTAATATTCTCAACTTATATGATATGTTGCATTTACCTGAATCGAACGATTAAAAAATGTATCATATACTTTGTACTTTCAGAACACATGTTTAATGCTTTGAACAAAGATCAAATCATTGACATCATCTATAAAAATATTGTTTTTTAATTGTATTGTTAACTGTTATTAAATGAATGATTGTATGTAGTGTGTCACACACAAATGTAGTTTTGATTGATTAATAAATCATTTTGCTCATGTATTTCGTTATTATTTATTTTATTATTTGAAGTTTTAATACCCGATCTTAGCTATTTTTAACATGGTTATGTTTGAATTTAAGTATTTCATGAAACACTTTATAAAAAAAAATTTGCAATTGTATGCTAGATAAAATTTGTAAACACTATGTTTAAATCTAATCTGTAAATTGCTTGCTATAAATAAGTTTTTTTAAATTGTAATAACTCTAAACCAAATTCTAACGGGATTTTCAAAGGTATTTTTCAAGGCATTACCGTCGACAATGTTTCGAAGGAAAGCCATTTTAGTGACACTATATCTAAATAAGCCAATAGCATTTTCTGACAAAAATGAGCAATAGTAATGTAAAACAGGAATCCGGCGCAACGGGAGAATTCATGAGAGGCGATGAACTGAAAACGACATTCGAAAGTAATAAATTATAATCAGACATTTCATAGGGTCGAATTCGATTTGTATTAAACATATTACGGATTCATATTAAGTGTAATTAAACAAGTTGTTTTCAAGCCAATATATTTTTATATGAGTAACCTAAATATTTTGTTGTGTTCAGTATAGAACCATATTTTTTTATAAATTGTAATACTTAAAAACAATACTTATGCACATTATTTTTCTACTTATTTTCTACGCCTTAGATCTGTAATAGGCCTTATAAAATGCGTACTAGTAACATAATATGTGTTGCTTTATGTTTTTTTCAAACCGATAAATTCGTATTTACGTAACCTGCATATTTTTTTAGTGTTATATGTAAATATGAAATTTTTTAAACAATACACGTGCAAAATATTTTTTCGCTTATGCACATGTTATAAAAGCGATACCGAATTATCTGATTTAATATACAAATGGTTGTTGATAGGCTAAAAACAAATAAAATGTTTTATTAACCAAAGAACAAAATTACAGTTATTTTAAAATAATAATTCGGTTGTTGTTTATTTAAGACACGAGTGTTCACATCTAAAATATTATTTCGAGAATTAAAAACTATGTCATTATCAAAGTGGAAGTTGTGTAATTATTTTAAATAGACTTCGTCAGTAATTGGAATCCTATTAAGGATAGCGGTCTATTAAAGATCTAAAGGTGTAGGAAAAAAATGTGCACAAGTATTGTTCAAATAATAAAAAACATAGTTTTGTATTAAACACAAAACAATATTAAGGTTACTCATATACAAATATGGCGGTTTTTTTTATTTATGGCAATGAGAATTAAAAACTATGTGATTATCATATTTTTGTGTAAGATTTTAGAAAAACTAAATGTTTAAACAAAGAAATCACTATCTGCTTACTTTAATAATAAAAATTAATATGGTTTTATTACTTTACACATTTTTATAATATTCTCCATATCAAATTATAAATTATCCCGAAAGCGTTTATTTGAAAGTGGTTTTATCACTTTTGTTAATCATAATTTCTATAAAACTGTGACCTCTTCGTCCCCACTATGCTTTGATCTCATTATGCCTGGATCCTACTGAACTGGCTTACTCGGATAAAATAACTTTCAAATAAACGCTTTGATGTTAATCTGTGAACACTGCGTCTTACTTTAAGACTTTCGTACTGTGCTTAGTTTAAACTTCACTGGTTTGAAAATACTAACTACTGATTCGCATCGAAGCGTTTATTTCAAAATGATTTTATCACTTTCAGTTGTAATAATTCCTTTAAACCAGTGACCTCCCCGTCCCCACTATGCCCCGACCTTACTGTACTGGCTTTTATATGAATTAGATTGGATACCTAATCATAATAATAAAGCAGAATCTATTAACGTTGTCAATATATGTATATATTTTGCAGGTGGTAAACAGTTCTAAAAGCTAGTGTAGTAGGTATTTAAAAAAAATAAATAAAAAAGTGCTTGTATTGTATTGGCATACAACGCAAATAAAAACGTTCTTAAATATCTATTGTTTATAGCAAATCGCATAGCTCAATAGTTACAAACTTGAAATTGTTTTCATTCCTGAAGTATATTCCCTTATAGTAAGTACTGCGGAAATTCCAAAAACTTGCTGCAAAAAGCTGCTTATCTTTATTTCTTACAACACCATTTGAATCACAGTCATCAATCAATAATACAATATTCCCATTACATTATAAAATCGTCATAGGTACTATTATCAAATCATTTTAAAACGTTTTTACTTCCAAAATAAATTACTCTGAAACCAAGTTTATTGTTTGACTTTTTAAAATGTTTTTAAAAACCATCATACTGTTCTTTTGCGTGGCTCTGTGCTTTTTGCAATGTCAAGGTAAGGGCCCTGATGGAGACCAACTTGTAAGTATAACGAGTACTTATTATTTATGATTAATAGAAAATACCGGGAGTCTTGCTAAACTATGTACAAAAATGTAATATATTGTTTAGATAAGGTATTTAACGTATTAACCTTCCTCATTTTCGCACCGAAGAGTTTTTAAGCGATATTTACACTAATAACCAATTATTGACAACAATAATAAAACATGATTTAACAGCTATGAAATGCATGTTATTATGATGAAAATATCGGCAAATATGCAAAATTTAATATACAATTGAATGACTAATTCTTATTCTTACAACAATAGCGAATAATAAAACAAATATTCAATAAACATTACGGGCTAAATGGCTTAAGCTACGAAGATGTAATTCGTGTAGTTGACGAAGTAAAAGAAGTAACGGGAGCAAAAGGCGGATTTCCCAGCCTCGTTGAAATGGAAACGGCATTAGAAAGTAATAAATAATAGGATAATATGACTAATTGTATAGCTGTAAATTCTTATTTGTTTTTAAAACTAAGAAGTCGTAACATGTAAATTGGATAAAAAATTATGAAATTTAGGCCCTTTTTTTATGTAATTCTTTCATTACAATAGTTAAAAATAAAAATATTTTGCAACTGTAACACAATATTATTCTCAATGTCTTTTGCAGTTTAATCTGCCTAATGTGTTTTTAGAAAAAATATATTTAAATAAAAATGTTTTCTTTCAGGGCATACATTTCTAGGCAAAGTCTTACGCATCACCCAAGGAGCTGATGCTGACGATAAAATAATGGTAAATAAAAAACTATAATACTATTATGGTGTTTAGAGGTTAGTTAGGGTGTTTTTGCGGGGTCATTCGTAATATTCAAGCTTTCAATTATTCTATGGAAAAATGGTTTAATTTATTCTTGTAAATATAACAAGTATTTCATAATTATTAAAATTTCTGAGATTTTTTTGTTACATACATAATAGATGTTACTTATTGTTTAGAATATTAATCTTATGTTTTTACCGCGTTTATTATATGGCTAAAAAAGTCTTATTTGTATTCTTATTTTGATAACAATAGGGATTGGTAAGAAAAAAAATCGAATTATGTGAACTAAAACCATATGGCATAAACTTTGACAATTTACGTGATATTATTATCAAAGCAAGACTGGCAAAGCGTATAGATAAATCCACTGATGTAAAGGCTCAATTAAAAACGGATTTATTCAGTAATAAACAATATAAAAATATTCAATAAATATGTTTTAAAAACTTTTAATCAACAGTGTTGTTACTTATTGGCTGTTGTTTTTTTGATAAGTACACTTGTATTTTGTTGGTCATATCATTAACCATTTTTATAAATGAATGAATATAAGCGAAAATAGATCCATACTGTTCTTTCAATTTCTTTATGAAATCTGTTATCAAATCCATTACACCCCAATGTGTTGTTCTAGAACATGACGTGAATAGTTCAGTTTCAGTAGGATATTCCCAAGCTGTTGTCATGGTATCAATCTCATACTTAATTTTTTCGATTAAAACTTGCCGATTTTTAGAGTTTTTTAAATAGTCATTATTTAAAGAGTTTGTAATATATACGAAGAAATAGTCGTCCGCTAAAGCCATGGCATCAATAAAATCTGTTAAAACTGGTATAAAGTCATCTTGTATTGTTGAATTGAAGTCATAGTCGAGTTTAAATGTTAATATGAGGTAACGCCTAACTTTGTTCAAAAAGTTTAATTTAAACAAATCAATTACCATTTGCTGGTATTTTCCAGTTGCTAGTATTCCCGGTAATCCTAAGCCAAACGCTATGACCTTAGCTCTATTTATCAATGGGAACAGAGAATACTCTATTCCTTGCACTAAAAAATTTAAACAAAATTTTTCAAATTAAAATGAACTGTAACCTCTGAAGTATAGCTGAATTATATCATTAAACTCAACACCGTTTTTATTAGCGTCGTCATTTTTCTTTAAATAAATATTGAGTAATTTATTCAACAGTGTTTTGTTAGCATTTATTACAGTTTTTTTGTAGCTGTACCGAGTTGTATGATTGTGACGTGGAAAGATAATGTCGTATTTATAACACTCACAATCTTCATTATCGGAATCAAAATATTGATCATACGTGCAATTTAGTCTTAAATAGTTTTCTATTTCTTCAAATACAAAATCGTGCTGCTCCAAGATCGTAGTTAAGCTACGCCCGTTGTTTTTGTCTTTGAAATCAAAATGTTCGTAATAGTCTTTCATTTGTTGCGCATACTTGTAAACCAGCCACACCTCATTCATTTGGACATGTTTTTTTATCAAACAATATGTTAATTATCTTATATGATTCGGCAACGAAGAAAAATTGTTTTATTATCTCCGGATTATTGGCCGCGTCCAATGCATGTGGAAATGGGCACTGTAAATGAACCCGCATTTTACACCATTATATTTCACGTTCGAATCGTCACTGCTACTAAGTATAGTTTCGTATGATATTGCCGTTAGTTCGTCGAGCAGTTTGCTAACACAATAGCGCTGTTTCTGCGGTAGTTCCGGCGCACAAAACATGGTAACGCACTCGATCGTTATACAAAAAAGGACTCTCCACAATTTCAATGAAACCATTTTTACGTTTGTTTAGGAAACACCGAAGTATTCTACACAGTTTTTTTCAATTCTCTATTAACTTTAAACGTTAAAGATATTATGTTCCAAGAATTTTCTACTTACTTCTAAATTACAATACAATTATTGACGGTGACAACACAATTCTTTTGTGCAATGCTAAATTTTTTTATTCAGTAAGAACATGAATTTTATTTAAACACATTTACTACGTACGCTGAATAACATATCTATCTATATACTAAAGATATTTTATACTAACGTTAAGTGAAATGTTTTATAGAAAAATATTTTTGTTTGGTAGGGACACAATTTTTTGTAAAATATGTTTTTTTGTGTGTTTGTTGTTTACGCGTACCTTTTTATGACCTAAAGTTTATTTAGTTTTTATTTCAACGCTATACATTATGTATATGTATAAGATATATGAAGAATAAGTGAATTGTAGAATATCGTACTTACGTGTTGTTCGAAAAAAATAATGGTTTCAGTAGATAATGATAACCTGCAGGCAGTTTTGCATAAACTACTAGCAGTTTTAGTTAAAACGTCCGGACCCTCAAGCCATATTCTCATCTAATTCCGTTATATCTACGACCACAATAAACCCTATCGACAGTATGAACCCCAAAATTAAAAAATCTCCAAAAAAAGTACTTAAAATAGAAAATCCACTATAAGCCAAAGACAAAGCTTAAGCCTTCTTTTCACTCCAAACTAACAAATAAACAAAACCAAAATTTATGATTGCTAATAATTTCGTTCAATGAGACCTCAATGGTCTTACAAATAAACGATGGGCATAATATTTTAAATCAAGACTATTCCTCTTGGTTTATCTGTTTGTAAGAATGTCTTTCCCCCTCTCCACTTTTTCACAATTATTAATGCTTCTATAAAAAAATAATTAATGGCGGGGTCGCAATTTTCATTGACTCTACACCACCAAACGAACAAATTCCTTTTAATATTAATTACTAAAGTTGTCGATAATTCTGTCTCGATTTCGAAAAGAACAACTACATTAAATTTTTACAAAAACACATGCTAATGCTAAAAAAAAATATGTAAATAAACCATTCGCGCCGTCACCGTGACACAAAAAAGTTTTTTGGCGAACACAGTATTTCATACTACATTTAAACGTTGTAAAAACGTATCTCGGTTGACTTCTAAAGTTTTACACTGCAAACAAAAATTATTTTACTTTGTTATAATTTTAAAGTCAATAAAAAATGCATGTCACCGGTTTCCTCGGTTTTATGATTATTTACATGCAAATATTTCTGTTGAATGCAAAAACCGAGTATCGCGTTAAAGTGATGAACGATATGTTAACTCACGTCGGATGGCTTGAGTGGTACCAAAACGACAACGTGCATATAATATACCACCCAATAAACGATGAAAAATTTGATGCAAATAATTTACTCGACCCTAGTTATGACGGACGGATAGTTACAGCCGAAAATGTAGATGATAAAATTCGACAAGCACACCAGTTATTGAGCTGTAAGTATGCCAGGGTGTTGGATGAATTTTGTGAATACGAAAGTGGTTTAGGTCCTGAATGTACGAAAATGACCAATCCGTCCGAGTCTTTGGATTGTTTAGGAGATTTTCTGGAAATGCTCAAATTATCGGATTCATTAGTTATGCGCATGCAAGGTTCGCTTTCGTGTTTACACCAGTTATCTCCACAAACTCCCGTCGACAAAGAGCTGTTCGAAATCCTAGAGGATTTCAAAAATTATTACAAAAACATAACTTTCGACAGGAACTCAATCGCTAGCGGGGGTGACAAAACCATTATCTATACCGTAGTCACGCAGATTGCATCCGTCGAAAAACGAATGGCGGACACCTTAGAACAATTAGGCGCATTCTATCGCAGTTTTTGTTGGCCGAGTCAAAAAGATGGCAAGATATCCAAACATGCAAGTGCCGTTGAAAACATTAGCAAAGCCACCGATCCTAATTTAGTGGTGCCAAAGTTCAAGCAACACATAAAGGAGATAATCGAAGTGTTCGAAGTGTCTTTTGACGAGGGTTTCGGTTTTGAATATAACAAGGAGTCGAAAACGACTACTTTAACGTACGATCCAGACTTGTTGCGACGAGTAAAACTAATGAACAAGCTTCTTGCGAACCCCGGATGGTTGGCGCTGAACGGTGTAGAAATTAGAACGCCTCCGGATGACCACGGAACCGTCCACGAGTTCCTTATGGCTAGCCCCAATCAAAAAGTTGTCACCAAAGCAAATGTGGACGAAAAAGTTCAACGAGCCCATCATTTTTTGACCTGCAAATATGCTGTAACGTTGAAGAGATGTTGTGACTACGCGAGACTCGTGTGGAAACATTGTTTGTTGTTGTCCGGTTCACCGACCTACCGGGAAGATTTCGTAAGTACAATGACGACGATCACACCGTTGGTTTCGAGCATGCAAGATGCGCTTTGGCATTTCTATCGGTTATCTTCGCACGTTAAATACGACAGAACCGTTTCCGACTTATTAGAACACTTCAAAAACTACTTCGAGTCTGAAATTTATGAAAAAAAAAATGTGCTGGTGAAATTGCTTGGCGAAACAAGTGAAAACAAAATTATGAAAAAAATTTTAGATATCGAAACCGAAATGACTGATGTTATCTTAAAAGGTTTAATCAAATTCTACGAGCCAAATTGTTCTCCATATCATTTGATCCACGAGAAATCTTTTGAGAAAAAAGCTGATGTAGTCAAGTCGCGCATTCTGGGTGAACGTTTCAAACAAGATATAGGCGAGTTAATAGTATCTCATTACAACGCATTTGGATTTCCATTTGATACCAGTAAAGTGAAAAATAAAGGCATCGCCAAGTAGTCTACAATTCAAAACAATAGACACAAATTACACGAAAAGTATATCATTTTTAATTTGTATTATTTAACGATTTAATTTCTGTGGACAAACTATACAGGTCTTTCTATTTAATTACATTATACATAGGTTTTTATTTGTCTAAAATCAATATAATATTTTTTACCCTCACTGCAAGTATATTGCGTTGATTACAATTATATTTGTTTGATCGTAATAAATGATTAGACTGTTTTAATTAATTTGTTATCGAAATATATATTTTTAAACACCAAAGCATCTATATTTACTTAACCACAATAAATAATCAGAGTATATTTAACTACTTTAATAGGTGATAAAAATGTGGCCAAGTTAATTACATTAGTCGCCTGGTGAATAATATTTTTCATATCTCGGTAACATTGACTTTAGTTAATAATTATAAAAAAAAAATCATATTATGACTTTTAGAAATTATTATGTACTATAAATAAAATGTATGAAAATAACCTCAAACAATAACAAAGTAATTAAGATGTTCAGCAAAATTATCATGTCGTCAAACCCAAAGACCCACAGCACAATGGATAATAACTTATAAATAGAACCCTTATCGATTTTAGAGTCTAGACTAAATAATAATTCATAAAACATTTCACCCTATGTCAAATTTTTCCTACGTTATTTAATCATGAATATTCACAAAGATTTCGTCGCCAGAACGTATAATATTAAGACTATACTATCATCATAAATCGCAGAAGATTATAAATCAGAAATATTCATTATTCAGGAGCCAGCTACACATACTATAGATTTCCTGAACATCTCAGTAACTTAAGTGAATCAGTTTGAAAAAATTTAAATGTAGCGAGAACACACTGGACTTGAATTTATTTGGAGCTACACTCAAATGAGACTTAAAAAGCCACAGCTAAAGTTTTTTTAAATTTATGGAAGGAAGGCGGCGATCAAGAGTATTACACCGTGTAAATGCTAGACTTAATTCACCACTTTGAAAACTTACACAAATAATGTCAAAAGTCTATGACCACTTAGTGTGACATCGAAACTATGAAAAAAAATAGTACTAGCATGATTGAATATGATGGAATCTGATTATTAGAAGAGAGGAGGAAGTATTTAAAAACAGGTTAAATGAAATGGACCTTGAAGAAGAAGATGATAAGAGAATTTATAGATTGGTTTACTTAAGTCAATAATACACGAACGACTTTTACTTCGAGTGAGTTAAAGTTTAATTACGGTTAGGTTAGTATTGTAAATTGTAGAAAGGAAATGTGAAAAAGAACATATTGTGTATTTGTTAAAATATTTTGGTAGTACCTCTTAATCGTTACAATTTTGCGTGACTTTTTAAATATTTTTTTGCATAACAGTTGCAAAAACCGAACAGTTTATCGCCGTATAATTTTATAAAAATTACTACCATATTTTAATTTGTCATCATATGCTAATTCCAAATTATTAAAAACTCATTTCATGTGACACTTTTATTTATTTAAGAACACAATTTTTTTTTGTGACAAATTCAAATTGAGCGTCTGAAACACATTTACTGGGCTTATAATAATTTATCTACTACCACCGAATGTTGTTCTAAGTAAATGGCAAAGTAATTATTTGCCCACAACATTATTATGGCTTAATAATTATAAATACGGTAAGGGGTAGAGGCCTTGAGAGCTATTGTTCTTTAGCTTCGCCAATTCAATACGAGTACATGAAAAGTAACGAGGTAGAAAATTATATGCGTGAATACTTTTGATAAACTGGAGAAATTTTACATTTGCTTCACCAGGTCTTGTGATCAAGATTCAAGTATAAAAGATTGTTCAAAGAGTTTGTTTTATTGTTAACAACAATAGTATCAAGTCAAAATTAGACTCGGAGAACTATATACACAAGGTGCTAATTTTCTCGGAAAGTGTGAATATTTTGGTATTAAGTTTTTTCCTGTTCTTTTAGATACATTATTGCTGATAATAGATAATTATTTTCTTTTACAAAATATTTTTTTACTTTTAATTACCTAGAAATAATAGGATATTTTTGTTATCCTAATAAATTGTACCCTAAATTTTTCCTTTTAATCCTATATATATATATATATATATTTATTTAATAAACAACAGTTAACTTATTTACTTTTACTTCTTCATTGAACCAAATAATATTTTGTTTACGTTTATTAAATAAAATACTATTATGCTTGACATTTTTTTTATCCAACTTCAATACTCAATATTAACTTGATAAAACAATAAGAAAAGCATATTTTTATGACATATAGTTATTTTATTCTAATTAAAAAATTATAATATCAAATTTATTGTTTATATTCTAAAATATTGACTAAGACCATTTGACAGTATAAATTTTATTTTATTTTATTACATACCTATCTACATATTTGGAATAGGTATAAGATTAAAAATAAAATTTTAGTTTAGATTTGTTATATCGACTAATATGCAGAGATCTCCACAGAAACTTCAAAACATTTTTTATTTAAAAAAAGTAGGGGTTGCCAATTGAAAATCGAAAGTTGGTGTAGAGTTTTCAAGGAAGGGAATAAGATACAAAAAAAAAAAAGTAGTGTATATTAAGTTAGTTTTTTACACACAAACCAATTATTAAAAATTTTCTTTATAAAAATCTAAGTTTTTCAGTAAACTAGTGTAGGACGCTAAAATAATAACCCTACATTGGAAAGTGCGAAAATGCATATTTTTATAATACAAGTAGTATAAGAGATAAAAGAAGGGCTATATAACTAGTCAATTTGCATCAAGTCATTTGTGCTATTTATTCATTCTTTGTATTAGTTTTTAGTTATTATTCCTGTACTCTTGCCCCTGTGGGCGTAAACAATTTTATAAAAATAAATAAATAACTAAAAAACACATCTTTTATAGAATTGACCTTACAATTAGAGATAAGTTGTACTTATAGTAGTACTTAGTGTTTACGAATAAGTTTGTCGTGTTATGCAGTACTGTTTCACATTTTGAATTCGTTCCGTGTCAATTTTTTTTTTCTTTTGTGCTAGGTCTTCTATAACCAACAAGTTTAATTTTAATTACTGGCATATTATAAAACTACATGCTTTGAATGTAGACATAAGTTTGACATAGTTTACCTTCCCAAAAGAACTCTGTTTATCAATAAACCAAACGGCGCGTCAACAAACAAATGCATTATTAGAGCCGCTAAATATGACGTTAATATTATATAAATAAATTTCATAATCTAAAATTAAAAAATATACATATTACTAAAATGTTTATCAATATACGCACAATAAGTGACTTAGTTATGTCTACTGTATGGTCCATGGAGCATAGTAAACGTAGATAAAAATTAAATAGATGAGACTTTTCATAAATTATTATTGCACATTCGTGTTAAATGATTTCAATAACATATGATTTTTTTTGTCATTTATAATTACTATTAAATATTAATTAAAAATCACTTACGATCATTCCGGATGTCAGTACTTCGGATGTCCGTGCTGAGAATACTATCATTATTATTATGGGAAAATTGACTTGGCTTACTGAATAAGAGAGTTTGTGTAGTAAATTATGGAATCGACTGTTCAGGTACTTTTCGGGAAAACCTATGAATAATTGGTAACATTAATATAAAAGTTACATAGTGCTTTCGTCTACGAGAGGAAACATATGTTAACGTAAGACGCTCAATAACACTTATATAATGTATTATACATATATTTTGTATAATTTTTTTTTTGGAAAAATGTTTCTTAAGTTCTATTATAACGTTTTAAATTTATTAATTATTCACTCATATTTAGCATTTTCTAGAGCTCTATTAATTTTTGATACTCAAATATAACGTACATATTTAATTGATTTTTTAAACTGAGAATAATTACTTTTGAGGTTAATTAATTAAGTTTAATACTCGTGGAGAGAAGAAGGCTAGAGTGTAGTATCATCGTTATCAACGCGCATTACTCAACCAAAATTTTAAACTTAAATAGTTTTTAAAGGAAATATCTAATTACGATTGATTTAAAAAATTAATTAAATAAAATATACATTCAAGTATACTATTTAGGTTTCAACATTAAAAAAAAAAGATTTAACATAAAGATATGAATTTGGGTATTGCTTAATTGTGCAAAATTAACATTTTCTTGATTGTACCCATAAAAAAATACAAATGATTTTCACAGAAAACGAGCGGCTTACATTAAATACAGTAAATGATATTTTGTACTTGTTTTTCACCAACATCTCAACATAATATTTGTAATAATGATAATAATGATATATATATATATATATATATATATATATATATATATATATATATATATATATATAGAATCAAGTGTTAGGTGTATTGCAGAAGAAAGACGAAGGAGAAGTTAATGAATTAGTAAACGTGGAAAAATAAATTTATAAACTTGATTACTATTATGGAAATAAGATTGCATCGATATTACGTACCATCACTAGTAGTCGTGTAACAGATAGCATACCACAGGACGAATAAGGGCATGTTTAAATGGCAAATGGCTGCATAAGTAGATGACTCGATCACATTGTAATCCCTGTGCCTATGATAGAATACATTGCTGTAAAATTGGATATACAAGCAAAGACCCCAGGCTATCAGAATAGTTATAAGAGAAGTTATCTGAAAAATAATCTTTAGTTGAACGAAAGCAATTAAATTGTAATCTGTATTGTTTTACAATTACCTTAGACATTTTGATATCCTTTTTTTTTAAAACTTCGACAATGACACCCGCTAACAGTCCAATATAAAATGGTAAGCCCCGTACATAAGGCTTGCTGTATAGATGCGTGAAATCATATGAGTTTGAACTAGTTGATTCACTTAAGTTTAACAAAGCTCTATCAAAAAAATAATAAACAATGTAAACATTTTAATAACGTTCACGTTACTTTATCGGTAAAAGTACACGCTATGCGCAATACAGGTGTATTTTTAATGCAGTACTGATAGAATCCAAAGATTTCGAGGTAAACCTACATTAATAATTGTGTAAAATTAAGTTTTTGGTGGTCACGAAAACAGGTTTGATTGTTATTAATAGAATTTACGATTCAAGCAGTTTTCGAAGGGTACTGAAATGAATTAATCACACGACATTTTGTTCAGAGATGTTTTTCAGTTCATTTTGGGCATCTTTAATATAATATTATGCCACTTTTTAAGCTCAGCCCCAGAAAAGGCACATTTTATGACTACTTCTAGATTTATTAATTGGTCGTAATACACAACTGGCCAATAAGACATCCTATATGTCCCTAAATTCTGAATCTCGAATCTTTCATAAATTCAGAAGATTATGATATCGACAAGATATGTTTCAAATTATGTCATTTCATAATAGCGGTTTTATTTCTGAATAAAAGCAATAAATTGATTCGATTTTAAGAGTTATGTATATATCAGGTTTTTAATTGGCTCAGATGTAATAAACATTACCTTCTGCGTACCATTAGCTACGTGGTTCACTTTTGGTCAGGATTTGAGGAAAGCTCATACGAAGATAAATTTCTAATCAACAATTTTTTTCTTTAATTACAGCCTATCGCTTGAACATAAAATGGTTACACGCTCACCTGCTTAAGAGTTTTTATTTTTCAATAGAATTTTAAGCCACCATATTTATTCTGTATAAACAACTAGCATTTTTCATCGTATGATAAAGACATAGTTTTTTTATAAAGGAGAAAATATTCAAAAATACTTACGATATATTTAATTTGGAAAGTCCATCTAATTTTGAATAGTAAGTTAAAGCAAATGGAATTATTAACGACGCGGAAATCAGCAAGGCTAATACAACGGTACCGATTTTACGGTTTTTTCCATAAATGTAAACGACGATCATTCCAATAACCATCAACTGTAGTAGTAACGAAATGTAATAACCAGCGAAGAGACACTAAAATTTCAAAAAGCATAATAATTATACCTAACTAAATATAAACTATCAAATCAGAAGTATTCAGATTATACTACTTACTTGATTTCCTCCTTCATTGAAATTATTAATAACCAATAGGTTAGTCCACCAATATTGTTTGCATTTGTTTGCTTCCAAACCCATTTGGTTTGCCCACAAAGGTCCATTTCCCAAATGAGGGATAATAAATATCGTAAGAAGTATCATTATGATGTGAACCGGAAGAGATCTAAAATAAAAAGCATACAATTTTAGCTCCAGTTGTAAATTGTAGCGAATACATCACCACAAAAAGAGCTGCGTTTACTTTAGATACTTGTAGATAATTATCTTTGGGATTTCAAACCAATTAAATCCGGGTTTTCTGAATTTAGTAATCATAATCGCGTATAAGAGGTAACCAGAAACAAACAGGAAATGGTCAACTCCATTATTTATACTCAAAAATATATTATAGTGGGCATCTTGATAAAACTAAGATAAAGAAAATATTATTATTTTATTAGTATATTTTTAACAATGGTTGATAAAAAGGATGAGATCAGGTATATTGGAATTTATTGGATTTACAATAAACAAGTAATAAAGAACAGTAATAACTTATTATAACCTCTTCTATTTGTCTTGGGTACAAATGTGGACCAGTGACAGTACTCATCCACCCATGTGATATTATCACCACCATCATTAAAGTTGATGACAATCCGTTAAAAACATTGAGCTCATTATTCTTTTCGAACTTAAGGAGCTCTTTTCCACTTGTTATTATGGAAAATATATTTGTAATTTCCGAAAATTGCGCTGTAAAAAAATCATGGACAAAGCAATTGTGTTCAATAAATAATAGGTAGATATAAAAAAGTAATATTTTTTTTTCTTCTTATGGAAAATGATACGATTTTGGGTAGGTATGTATTATGGCTTTGGTTTTATTGAATCATTAAGCATGTCACGTTACACTTTTTTGTCCATGCCATAAGAAATGTACATTTAATATTATTTATGCGACTGTGATAGTGATAAAACAGTTTTATTAGTCTCTCATAGTTTATTAAATATGTTGTTCTAATTTTACACCATATTTTTACATATTAATTTGAACATCTTAAAACGTTTAAATTTGTATTTGGATTATTTTGAATGCATGATGTATAACTTCAAAATTATAATAATAAAATTGTACACGGGTTTTAAAAAAGAGAAACCAGAATTAGTTAACAATAATAATTGTAAGCCAAACAATATGTGAATTTAATATAATAGTAATTTTAATACAAATAACTAGCTATTTTTTTAATTATTGTATACTTACACGTTTTGTTTTCTCGTCCGTTGCGTAGAGCAACTAAATGGTAAACCGTAGAAAAAGAAACGACCAAAATCAGCAAGCCAATAAAAATGCTAAACGAAAAGTATACCGAGCATTCATTATATTTACTAATTAAAAATCTGCTTAAATAAATATTCGGATAAACTAGAGTTTAAATTCTGTATTCTAAAATAATATAATACGTAAAAAACTTTTTTAAAATAATCGCATAATAAACTACAAGGGTCCAGTTTCCTAAGGTGCAATGTAAAATCTTAAATAACTTTTTGAACCAATTCCCAATCAACATTCATTAGAGATTTTTTTATTTTGTCTGGAATACCGATGGAAGCACCTTCTTTACTTTTCTAACATGCTTACCAAGTTACATAATATCCTGTATCGTACGGGAAAAAACTTATGTTGGTGCTACAAAATTCTGGTTTAACTTTGACTTGGGTTGTTAGTTGATGTGCTTGGAATATACGATCCAGTTCTCTTTGTAATGAAACTTCAAGATCTTCGGATGTACACGCCTCTGGTATACAGACGCCGAGTTTGATAACATTTCTTTTATACCGATCACCATAATCGATAAACTGTTAAATTAAACAAGGAAAATGTAGAAGGACATAATAAGAAAAAATATGTTTGTTAATATTTAATATATAAGCGAATTGTTCTCCTCTAGCATTCCATCAAATTTACTTTTTTGTTCAGGCTGTAAAATTAATGGATAGTGTTGAAATCAAAACCTATACCTATGTTTTCTATGCTAATTCTTAGCATACGTATATAATTCATGGTCACTTACAAAAGATAACTAGGAACAAACATATGAGCGTAGAAAGGAAAGTTTTAACACCAGTTTTAAAAAAAAGTTTTAAATCATAAAAAATTAAATGTACAAATACAAAAATAAATGAATTAAATTACCCCGAGTATTTCTTGCCAAGCATTATCATCAGTGTATTCATCTTTACTGTACTGGGTGAAGTTTTCGTTTGTTGAAGTTTGAAGTTTGATGGTTGACATACAATATTTTCCTTGAATAGGCTGGTGCACACTAATGCACTCGTCATAAACGCCCATGTGATGTGTATTGCCTATTAATAGTCCGTTTAAGTATCTAGGCCATGAATCTGACACTATAAAATGCAATGTAACTGATAAATGTATTTCAATGAAAAATAAAAAATGTAATTTGTTTTCACCATTGATATTGTATTTAATAAACAATTCTACCTTCGTCGGGTAACTAATAATATTCTGTTGTACAATGATTTGTATTTTTTTTGTTTTTTTGTTTCTGGATATCTCCAAAATTGGTGAACCGATTTCTTTATGAAGAATGTTTATAGATCATTAATTGTATCTGAAATGTTACCTTCAGAACCATGAAAATATGATTTAAATTCTACATTTTAATGTTGATAAATTATACTTCGTATTTCTACAATTAAAAATTAAAATATTGTTGTCTACCCAGTTAAAAAGTTTTTTTTTTCTATATTAACAAAACAATCTGTACAATGTTTGTAATAAGTTTTTTTTTGGCTAGGTTATGTATATAGCATGAATACGTAACATGCGAGGAAGCCACCCATTGTTCCTACAATGGGTGGCACTTGGCACCTCAGTTTCTACAATTTAGAATAAAAGTATTGCTGTCGACCCAGATTAAAACTGTACGGGACTTTTATTTGGAATATGCCTATCAATTTTAAAAAACCTATTAAAACTCTTTTTTAAGAGATGAAATAAGAAAAAAATATAGGTAAGGCTTTATGTTATTTTGCCAATGTTTATCCACAGTACTAGGTACAAATAAAGTATATTCCAATCATCATCATGTAGCTTAACGGGCCATGAAGGCTCAACGCTGCCATCATGAGATGGTTTCTTGACGAATTCGCTTCCGGGCAAGGTCGTCAATCCGTCGCCGGAGAGGGGGATAGCGGTTCCTTTTCACCGAACGATTGCTCACCCAGCAAACGGAGCGCCTGTGACCGATAGTGAGCGCCAACACACTGCCGCCTTACCCACTCGGCCACTCCTCCTCATATTCCAATAACATTTTGAATTAATTCGACTTATATTAAAATATTTTACGAGACACCGTAATTTAATGTTGAAAAATTCGTAAATAGTTTTTGGTGTTTTTCCCAATTTTGATGGAGAAATAAATTTTTGTTTTTTTTTAATACGTTTCCGCTTGAATTTCTGATCCATAGACATGCTACACAATATCTTGGTATCACAAGAAATCGGTTCAGCGGTCTTAAAGATTTCGTAGATCCATACAAAAATAAATAATAATAATAATAAAAAAAACATCATCAAAATCATTGCAAATAATATAATGTTGTCTCAGTTATGCATCGCATTCGCATCTAGTAAAATAAAACATAGCATCTTAAAACCTTTTATAAAACTTAAAAACTGATAATTAATAAAATAATATTAATTTTAATCTATAATATGATTCAGTGATGTAGTTTAGACTTCAGACTAGTTTATCTTCACGCAAGGGGAAGCCACTAGGGTTGGGCCTATCCAGATATTCGGATATCCGAATTATCCGGATAATTCGGATACGGATATCCGAAATCCGGATAGTTTCGGATATCCGGATAATTGATCAACTATTCGGATATCCGAAACTATCCGGATAGTTAAAAATTATCCGGATAGTTTCGGATATTCAATTCATTTTTATAAGACAAATATACCATAATAATTTACAGTGTTTTTAAACATACCGAATAATAAAATAATGACACCCAATTAAATTTTACTATCACATGAATGATTTTTAGATATATCCGTGTTAGTGGTTGTTAACCGACTATTCGGACTCTTTGCAGAGTCCATCCTCAGGGTTGTCACGACTGTTCCGCTGCCGGTTAATAACCGCTGACACGGATATATCTGAAAATCATCCATGTGATATTTTAATCCGTGAAAGTTTCAAAAAATACATAAATTTGAGTACTCAAAAAAATATATTCGGCTGGTTAAAAATTAAATGAATATCCGAAACTATCCGGATAATTTTTTAACTATTCGGATAGTTTTGGTTCTACGGATAATTGAAATATTATTTGATATCCGAAACTATCCGGATAGTTTCGGATATCCGGATAGTTGATCAATTATCCGGATATCCGAAATTATACGGATTTCGGATATCCGTATCCGAATTATCCGGATATCAAATGATCCGGATATCCGCAAAATCCGAATATTAGTCCCAACCCTAGAAGCCACTGCCTTTTTGTAGTAATCTTATACATTTTTTTTTTTTTATAAATGTTAATACTTTTTTAAAATAAATCCGTTAAATAGTAAAAAATTTAAAAGTTTAAATGGTATAAATGGATAACAGATGTTTAGAAAATATCAACTGGGCAATTTTTCTTAGTACACAAAAATACATAGTTTGTAAACTAATTTTTTTAAATGTAAAAACGCACGGTTTGAGAATATTGGGCGAACTTGTATTGCAAAAGACAAAGAAGAAAGTATCGGGAGAAAGAAGTAAGAAGTAAGAAAGTAGAGGTTGTATATGTGTAGTTTGGTTTTGCCTGGTCAGTTTATTATTATAGACATCAACATGATTTAAACGATAACATAGACATATAGTTAGTTACTTGGTCAGTGACCAACGCTTACTTTTTACTGCCCAGTAGGAATTGTTTTTTAAATGGCTCAAGTACAACTCTGACTGTAGTCGACAAGCCGAATTTCCAACATCAGTGACTGAGAACCCCACTAACGATTGATAGAAGAGATTGGCTAACCAGCTCTCAGGATAAACCGGCTCGAGTCCCGTGGCATTACTGTCGTCCAATTTTGAATTAATCGTGTTCGGTAAAACTATGTTTTTTGTTTCGGTAGAAACGTTTTGACTATCAAAAGCGATTTCATTAGAAAAAATTGCAACCGGAAAAATAAATGCTAATAAAGCCCACGCTCGGAACATTTTGAATATTTCTGCTAACTACACTGATTTTTGTAAATTAATGGCTACAACCACCTTTAACTTCTGGGTATATTTTATGACCATGGTATTTTTGTGGATATCCCACTACTTTTTTTTTTTTTTTGCTCGAATTTACGTAAGTAATTTTTTCCATTTTATTTTTGGAATAAAAAATATGAACAATACTATTATAATATTAAAAGTTTTTTCCCATCATTGCCATTTATTTAATATATCAATTTCCATTTGCTGGGAAACTGACATAGCGTTGTTTTTACATTGATATGCATTTTTTTTATGCAAATTTATTATTCAACACATATGTAATTATTTTTTAATTATTTATTATAATAATGATGCCCCTTGGGGTAAAAGTGCAAACACGTTTTTAATCAAGTTAATTAATAAATATGAATAAATACTAGGAAACTAAAAAAATCACTTACTGATTCAAACCGAGTAATTCCCGCTGGCGTTGTTAAAATTACAAAAACTCTGCATTGTATCCACTGGTTTCTTACAACATTATTTCTGGCGGTGGAAAGGGACGTGGAGGGTTCACGTATCCTACTATTAAAGCTAGTTACTGTAAGTCCTATTCTTATAAGTAACTCGGAACAAACAAGAAATCTATTTAATAATTAAAAAATACATTCTGTATTATTATATATTCACCTAGTGGCAAGAGAATTTATAATGTATACCAATGAAACGTCATTCTGGGAATTTTCAGCCGACCTTTTGCACATCATTTTGATTCCAAGCAAAACCTAAATTACCTAAACAATTAAATTTCACCACTACATATAAGACGATTCAAATATTTAAGTTATTTCATCATTGCCATTCTATTTAATATTATATAATTTTGCATTGGCTAGGAAACTGAGATTGTATTAATTTTCCCATATATTATTTACATTAATTTTTTATTTTTAATAATTTTTTTTTTATTTAACACTTACTTTTTACTGTTCAGTATGAATTATTGTTTAAATTGTCTATTGAATAAAACACATGATTCTTTTAATGTTCGTTTCTTTTCACCAGAACCGATTTAAATTAAAATTTTGATACGTTTAAATTATATTAATCGAACCATAATAACACAGCAAGAAACTAGATGTAACGAAAACAAATATCATTAATTGTATTTTACTAATTATAATCAATGTTATGTATCTGGACTTGGAATTCAGCAGTATTAACAAAAAGAATTGCATGTGAAATTATGTATGTAAATATGTAAATAAGTATATAAATATAGTCTGTAAATCAAATATGCAACAACTTTAAACACATCAATAAACCAAAGGACATTACAAGAGAAAAAAACACAAAACAATTGTTATTTATAGTTTAATATTATGGTTACTTAATTTAATTACTTATAGTTATTGTAATTGTTAATGCTTATGTGTCAAATGTGTCTCATTATATATAACTGTACTCAATGCCCTAGGGCGTGTGTTTCAATAAATAAATAAATAAAACAGAACTATGCAGAACTTTATGTTTGATATTATCATTTATTTTGTTATCATAAATTTTGCCAAAAATTTTACATAAACTTATAATACAATTTATATAACTTTTGCAATATATTTAAAAATAAAATTAAAAATTGTACATTGTTTTTCAGAAAAATTAAGTATTTTTTATTTATAATAATACAATTTTAGTTTTAATTAAAAAAAGAAATGCGAACGAAAAATTAAAACAAAATGCACAAATGTTCACACTTAACTAAAATTAGCAACATTTTCCCCACTGGCACTTGTTAATATCAAAAACAATAATTTTACCAGAACATTGATTTAAGCTTATATTCATAAAATCATCTACTATTTAAGTTGCTAAAACTTAAATAGTAAAAGTCGCAAAGTCGATTCCCTTGAGCAAAAAACCAAAGGATCAGAAAAAATAAATAAAGAAGAAAAATATATAGAATTAGTTGAAGTAAAATTAAATAAATGTATTTTAACAAATTTACTTTTGTAATTTTTTTTTATATAGTGTACGGAATGGTGGTGCCCAATCCACACCAATTTCAACGTGTTAATAAAATCATTTAAAGCCACAACCATAAACGATGTACAAACAATTAAAAAAGATGTTTCGCGTAACAATTATTGGGAAAAATATGACGTTTGTATCTGTTAATTAATGAGTAGTTTAATCTAAAAATGAATGTTTGTCTGTTTGTTTATCCTTTATACAGCATTAGTACACCATTCATCCGATCGCCATGAAGCTTTGGGAAATTGTTGTGTACACTCCCGCGAACCTAACTGGCATAGTACTTTTCGGAAATTTCACGCTTAATGATGACCTCAAATACGAAATTTGTACTTTAAATACGAAATGTAAGAAATTAAATGTTTGTAACCATAGTAACCCAAAATAAACTAGCTAGTTAAAATAAAATATATGTTCAATTATTACTGTTCATTGTTAGTTGTGTTTAATTATATACAAAGCACCTTCTTTATTTTGGGTAAAACACATAGTTTCACAAGATATTAATATATCGGAAAAAAAAAATTCCTTTTCTCTTTTGACAAAAAATATATAAAATAGGTAATTTTATACAATACAAATTCAACTAGCGTTTTTAATTTATGTTAAAAGTTTTTTTTCCGAAAACATTTCATCATTTGAAAACCAATGTTACCATGTCAGAATTATCAACGGCTTAGTAGTTTTAAGAATGAGCCATATCAATTACTATGGAAATGTATTTTCAATTGGACCCATGACCTTGCAATTATATTATGTCAAGGTGTAATTTATAAATATAATGCATTTAATTGTGTAATATCAATATTAAGCAGTTTCAATAAAAAGTGTGTTATGTTGTAATTAACTTCGAATAATTATTAATGCCTGTATTTGCATATGTGAGTTGATAATACTCAATACATCTGTTGAAAATATGAGTAATAATAGTTTGCAATATTCATATAACTACATACAAGTAATCAGTTATCACTTCTTGATAATACCAATATTGTTTTTAATTTTACTTAATGCCTATGTAAGTATATTATATCTATTTGATTAAATAAATCTAGGGTAGTTCAAAGTCTGCTTTCAGTTTTGTTATTTCTTATAATGCTCTTACCTAAATTTTGTGTGTCCAACATACATTACGGAAATTTGATCATAAAGTTTTAGGTATAACTAAACCTATTATATACAATTATATTCTCAAGTTGTAAAAACGTTGTAATGGTATTAATTTGTATTTAATGAATTCAGTAAGTCACGTAAGTAGATTTTTTGAACTTTTCTAAGATAATAATTATTATTAATTTTATTTATTGAAATTTATTACATCGTTAAAGTTGTTTAATTACAGCATCTGTTAAAAAAAAAATTAACTTAAATCAGTTTTATATAGGTTGAAATTTTTTTAATTTATTATAATTATTGTTTTTGTTTTATATTTTTGATTGAGTATTTTCAAAAACAAGTAACATTTGTAATTATTAATTTATTAATATTTTATTAGCTAAATACTTTTATCGTCTGTCAAAAGGGTAGTATTGTACTATACATGTAATCCTTTACTATCTATCCGCAGTTGAAATTTAGAGTTAGTTAGGCTTATGTCTTGGATAAACAAAAATAATAATTATAATAATCACTTGAATTATTTAATTAAATTTAATCTAATTTAATCATATAAGGTTATCACGTTACACTTTTTTGTCTGACCACCAATTAAGAGAATTGTCTATGTCAATATTTTTTATGTGAGAAAATATTATTATTTCAAGAAAAATGTATTTAGTTGAAATTATTAAACTAAACCAAAAAATGTACATGTATGATATTTTTTGTTACGTATCAGCAGTTTATATAAATACATATGGTGGGAATTGTCTATTATACGCGAGTGCTACACCGGCACAACTTGTCATTCGTAATTATTGTACTTACACTGTTTGCTTTTTCGTCCATTGCGTAGAGCAATTAAATAGTAAGCCGTAGAAAATGAAACGACCAAAATCAGCAGGCCAATAAAAATGATAATCGAAAAATATACCAACCATGATGGAAGCATCTTCCTTGCTTTTCTAACATGCTTACCAAGTTACATAATATCCTGTATCGTATAGGAAAACATGTTTATTGGTGTTACAAAAGTCTGGTTTAACATTGACTTTGTTTTTAGTTGATGTTCTATGAATACACAATCCAGTTGTCTTAGTAATGAAACTTCAAGATCTGCGGTATACACACTTTCGGTATATAAACACCGAGATTGATAACATTTCTTTTATACTGATCACCATAATCGATAAACTGTTAAATTAAACAAGGAAATATATCAGCACATATTAAGAAAAAAAATGTTTATTATTTTTTAATATATAAGCGATTGTTTTCTTAAATCCAATTGTTTTCCTCTAGCATTCCATCAAATTTACTTTTTTGTTCAGGCTGCAAAATTAATGGAAAATGTTGAAATCAAAACCTATACTTTCGTTTTCTATGCTAATTCATAGAACACGACGTATATGATTTATGGCCACTAACAAAAGGTGGCTAATATTTGATCCAGTAATAATATCACTATTGGAAATCTGTGGCGTTTCATCTCATTTTTCCCATTCTTCCAGCCAACAGATAATTAAAAAAAAAATGTTTTGATTTTTCTGGCGATGTTCAAATACAAAAATAAATGTATTAAATTTACCCCGAGTATCTATTGCCAAGCATTATCGAAACTGGTGTATTCATCTTTACTGTACTGGGTGAAGTTTTCGTTTGTTGAAGTTTGAAGTTCGATGGTTGACAAACAATATTTTCCTTGAATAGGCTGGTGCACACTAATGCACTAGTCATAAACGCCCATGTGGTGTGTGTTGCTTATTAATAATTCATTTAGGTATCTAGGCCATGATTCTGACACTATGAAATCCACTGTTAGCTATTAATGTTATTATTATTATGTTAACATTAGACAATAAAATATAATTAAATAAATTGTGTAGTATTATTTTTATCTGCGTGCATTTCTCAACTGCACTTCCCCTCCCATGCTAGCTTTTCAACTCTTATAACTTTATAAGAGTTATCCAAAACTGGTTATCGACCAGTCAATATTTTTAGTACATTATTTTCCATCTATAAAGTTACCGAAATGTATGCGTTATCAATTAAGTTTCAAAATTTGCTATCAAATAAACTAAGTAAAGGGGGGGGGGGGGTAAAAACAAAAACAAATCATGAGAAATTGAGATTACGTTGTTTAAAAATACTATGGAAAAATAATATTCAATTATTAATTAAACCCAGTAAGATATTGAGTGGTTCACAATAAGTTGATGTTTAATTTCTGTTGTTACCAAAATGTATACATGTGGTATACATGAGGTATTTCAATGATCGAATACTTAGATACTTCTTATCGTGCACTATCTTATTTATCAATCCGATGAGTTTATCAGAGTTCAATTTTAGACCATACCGTTAAGTGGGAAACAAACCACATGAAGCAAAACAAGGCACAGTAACAAGTGTGGAAACCCGTCAAATGTATTCCCCGATTTACAGGTGTTCAAAAAACTTCTTGATTTTCAGAGCTCCTTTTGATTTTTTTAAATTTAAACTTTTGTATGTTATTAGGTGTAACTTTATGCATAAATATATCATTTTACCTTAAGTGGCTTGCGTATGAGTGATATCAACTTGTAAAATTTAAATGGGAATCCCAATATTCGGTTTGATTAGTATATTTTTTTTAAATGGTGGTAAAATTTTGAATCTTTGCCCATTAGTTATTACAATATTCTCGCTAAAATGTCGACAATTTGGTGACTACGTTGGCAGGAAAAAATACATTTGCAACAATAATGACTGATGTTATCGATCATAAATTATCGTTGTTATAAGATGGCCGACGGCTGGCAGGTAAATTACAGGACAAACAGATCAATTTATTAGTAAATAATACATAATTTAATACATTTTTTTAAACTAAAAAAATGTAATTTTTTTTTCAGGTTAACAATTTTTTTTCTGATACGGATTACCCATATTTCGAACAAAACCCCTTTCATAAACGATTATATTATATAACTATTTTTAAATAATTTAATATCCATATGTAACTTGATTTATTCTATTCTAGTAATGAATTTATATTAAAAATCAAAGAACACAATTAATTGTAATAACAATAATGATGATTATAATTAGATATTATAATTGCCTTATACATACTTGTTGAATAACAATGAGAATGTAGATAATTACCCCAACTTTAAATAATTAAGCATATAATTACGCGTAAAATTAAAAAAAAAAAGTAGTGGGATATCCACAAAAATACCATGGTCATAAAATATACCCAGAAGTTAAAGGTGGTTGTAGCCATTCATTTACAAAAATCAGTGTAGTTAGCAGAAATATTCAAAATGTTCCGAGCGTGGGCTTTATTAGCATTTATTTTTCCGGTTGTAGTTTTTTCTAATGAAATCGCTTTTGATAGTCAAAACGTTTCTACCGATACAAAAAACATAGTTTTACCGAACACGATTAATTCAAAATTGGACGACAGTATTGCCACGGGAATCGAGCCGATTTATCCTGAGAGCTGGTTAGCCAATCTCTTCTATCAATCGTTAGTGGGGTTCTCAGTCACAGATGTTGGAAATTCGGCTTGTCAACTACAGTCAAAGTTGTACTTGAGCCATTTAAAAAACAATTCCTACTGGGCAGTAAAAAGTAAGCGTTGGTCACTGACCAAGTAACTGTAAGTCTATGTTGTTGTATATAATGGTGACGTTAATAATTATTAGCTTCGATGTGGAGCTCAGAAGGTAGTGCATGTACAATGACTTTTTTTTTTTTTTTTTATATTTTAAGAGGCTTCAACATCTGTGGTTATTAGCCATTGTGTAAGTTACATTAATAATTAAATATCAAAGGTTACAATATTTTTTAAATAAGAATAATGAAAAACAAAAGTGTTAATTAGATATTGTTTACAACGTTAATTTTTGTAAGGAAATTTAAAATTGTTATGGTATTGTCTTCATGGAGAGCTTCTTCTAAGTTGTTGGGTATTGATAAAGTACTTCGGATGTTTTGTAGGTCTGGGCAGTCTAGGATGATGTGTTGGATGGTTAGGTCTTCTTGGCATTTATTACATATGGGTGGTGCATCTTTGCTGATTAAGAAAGTATGTGTCAAAGAGGAATGTCCGATTCTCACTCGGGTTAGAGTTACTTCTTGTCGTCTGTTTAAATTGTGAAGATAACGCCACTTTTTAGTGCATCTTTTGATTTTTTTTAATTTGTTGGAAGGCGGAACGGAATCCCAGTAACCTTGCCATTTCATATTTATTTTATTCCTAATAGATTTATTTATGTCTTTAGCCGGTATGTCAGTGATTGTTGGATGCAGGATGGTTTTAGTCGCTATGTCTGCTGACTTATCGGCCATCTCGTTGCCGGAAATTCCGATATGAGATGGTACCCACATAAATTCTATATTTTTTTTTGTAGAATATAGTTCTGTTTGTATGTTCTGGGTTATTTCGTTTGTCGAGAAGGGGTTTTGGAGTGCTTGGAGAGCGCTAAATGAGTCGCTTACTATTAAAATATTATTATTTGAACTGGTCAGATTTGTAGATCTGATTGCTTCTAATATGGCGTAGTTTTCTGCAGTGAAAATACTGCTCTCCGGAGGAAGTTTGTGAAGGATTTTAGTTTCGTCTCTAATGATCGCAAAGCCAGTTCCATGTTGAGATTTAGATGCGTCGGTATAAATTTGTAAAAAATTTGAGTATTTATTTTGGATGATTTCTTTGAAGTGGCAAATGATAATTGTGGGATTTGTTTCATGCTTATTATACTGGGTTAATTCGGTATTGAGTTGGATTTTCCAAAGCCAATGTGGAAATTTTTGGAATGTTATTTTATTTTTAATCGATGTGTGGATTTTGAACTTTGTGCACAAATGGGAGAAGGTATCGTGTAGAGGTGGTATTTGTTTCCTGATTATGTTAGTTGGATTTATATTTTGGTTTTGGAAAATACTGTTGTATCCTATATGGTTAGGAGTGCTTTTTCTTTTTATGCCGTAGATGAGTATATCTTTTTCTCTTTGAAGTTTAAGGGGTAGTTCTCCAGCGTAGCACAAAATGCTATCGATAGGGCTGGTTCTGAAAGCTCCTATTGAAATGCGAATACCTTCATTATGTAAGGGATCTAATATTTTGAGCAGATTTTCTTTGGCTGTGTTATAAATAATTGATCCATAGTTTATTCGTGACAAAATTAATGACTTATATATATTTAGAAGGCTCTTGGTGTCAGCCCCCAGGTGTGATGTGAAAGTGTTTTCATTATGTTCATTTTCATTTTACAAGAGCTTTTAAGTTTTTTTAGGTGTTGGGTCCATTTTAATTCATTATCAAAGATCATTCCTAATATACGTAAAGATTTGCAGAAGGGTATTTCAGAGTTATTAAGGAATAATTTAAGGTTCTCTGTCGTGCGAACATGGAAACAAATACATTGACTTTTCCCTGGGGAAAATTTGAAACCAGTCTTGTTTGACCAATTTTGGAGAATATTGAGTGCTTGTTGTAGTATTTCAATCGTGGTTTTAATATTTTGTCCACTACAATAAATGTGGCAGTCGTCGGCAAAAAGTAGGTGTTTTGTAGGTTTTGGTATTTCTTTAAATATATTGTTAATAGCTAGTAAAAACATTGTTACGCTGATCACTGAACCTTGGGGGAGGCCGTTTTCGGTTAGGTAGGTGTTTGATAATTCATTGTGAGCTTTAACTTGTATTGTACGGTTTTTTAAGAAGTTTTGGAGGAATACAAACATTTTACCATTTATGCCACATTCTTGAATGATTTTAAGGACTCTGTTTCGCCATACCATATCGTATGCTTTTTCTAGGTCTAAGGCTATTAATATTAAATGTTGTTTCTGATTTTTTGCGTTACAAATTTCATTGTGTAAAGAAGAGAGGGAATCGAGAGTTGAATGATTTCTTCGAAAACCACATTGTTCATTTGTTAGTATATTTGATGTCTCCAAGTGCCAAACAAAGCGCTTGTTTACTATTTTTTCTAATGTTTTTCCTAGTGTATTGATAAGTGAAATAGGTCTATAGTTAGCGGTATCGAATTTGTTCTTGTTTGGTTTAGGGATAGGTATAACAATTGCGTTGCGCCATTGGTCAGGATATATGCCTTTTTCCCAAATTATATTATAAATCTGAAGAAGTATTTCGAGTCCTAGCTTTGGTAAATTTTGAATAAAAGAGTATGGTATCCCATCTGGGCCTGGGCTTTTGCTTTTGCATCCAGATAATGCATTGCGTAATTCGGTTATATTGAAGGGTTGATTAATTGTGTTTTCTTGATGGTAAAAATTGAGCTCTAGGTCCCTTTTAATGTTTTCTTCTGTCTTGTGTTTGAAATTTAAGAATGCATGTTCGTAGTTTGAATTACAGTTATTTTTTTTGAAGTGCTGTGCAAAAGCTTCGGCTATATCTGTAGGGGATGAGAGTGAATTACCATTATGGTTTATATTTAAAGGTAATGGTTGGTGGGTTATTCCTTTAATGGATTTAATTTTGTTCCACATATCGGTTGAAGATGTGTTTGAGTTTATTGAATTTGTATATTTTTGCCATGATTCAGTTTTGCTTTTTTTTGTTATAAATTTTGCTTGAGCGCGCAATTTCTTTAGTGCTATGTGGTCGTCTATAGATTTGGTCTTTTTGAATTTTTTTAAAGATTTTTTATAGGCTTTAATTGCCATATTGCATTCCTTGTTCCACCATGGGACTGTTTTCTTTTTATTTTTGATATTAATTTTGCCGATAGTCAGATTGGCGGCATCTAATGTTATGTTAGAAAAATTGTTAATGATTGAATTTATTTCGGTTTGGGTGATTTCGTTTTTTAGATTGATTGGGTGATTATTAAGTTCTTGATTTATGATGTCTTGGTAGAGTTCCCAAGAGGGATTTTTTAAGTTCCAACGGACTGGTGGGGATATTGGGACTGTCTGATCTTTGATTTTTATAGAAATTGGCCAATGGTCACTGCTGCTATATTCGCTAAGTACGTTCCATTCGGTTTTTGGCGCAAATGTGCTATTTGTTATTGTAAGATCAATGGCTGATAGAGAATTATGAGTTGCGTTATGACGAGTGTATTCTCCAGTATTTAATAATATTAATTGTTCATTTTCTAGAAATTTTTCCATAATTTTGCCTCTTTGATCCGTATGATGGGATCCCCAGATTTGATTACGACTGTTGAAGTCGCCAAGAAAAATAAAAGGTTTGGGTAATTGTTTTATGATGTCATTGAGGTCATTAAGTGTTAAATTGGTGCTATCCGGTAGGTAAATGTTACAAATACATAATGAGGTTTTAAGACGTATGGAGACAGCTATTACTTCAAGTGGAGATTGGATATGGATTTCAGAGCTTTCAATGAGATTATTGACAAAAATAGCAACTCCGCCTCTTGCGCGGAGGCATGTTTGGCGATTTTTGAAGAATCCGTTGTATCCTTTTATGGGAAAAGTGGTGTTGGGTTTTAAATTAGTTTCTTGGAAGCATAGGGCGATTGGTTGGATGTGAGTTTTTGCTCTGTGGATATCGGTATTGTGTTTGTGTAGACCGTTTATGTTCCATTGAATAATAGAGTCCATGGTTAGAAAATTAAGAGGTTATGTGTTAAGCTTAATGACTTTTTTTGTATATATATTAGTGTTGTAATTTGGATTCGAATACCTAATTTTTAAACATTCGAATATTCTAATATTCCAATAATTATTCGAATATTCGTATAGTTGAAAAAAAACTATTTGTAAAATAATTATTATTACCATTTGAATATTCGAATATTTGAATATTTCCCATCACTAGTATGTACCCATGAAATCGTTTAAACCGCTGAACTTATTTCTTCGTGTAGTAAATCTATAAAACAAAAACTATACCTAAAAGGTAATTTTATAAACCAAAAACTTATGAAGTCACCCCTTCCCCATTAAAATTCAGAAAAAAATCATATTTTTAAACAAAACATTCTCCCATCACTTTTTTAAATGAGTCTAATTAACTCCAAATTGTATTTAAATATACTTTATTCACTGACGATAAACATTTTAAACTAAAAAAAATCCTATATCCATTAGCCTAGGAGAAAGAGTTATTTAATTTTTTTTTCACTACTTCAAAAAAAGTTATATAACTAAACATGTATATTTCAATTTCAATTTTATATTTTTTATTGGTATACATTTAAATATTTTATTTTTCTTCAAAATTTAAACCTAAAAGCTTGTTGTAAGAATAAAAAAAATGTTATACGTACCTAATATATAATTTAATTAAATTTTTTTATTTTTCATTAGAATTTATTTAAATATATTTTATTGTATAATGTTAAAATAGTATTAATAACATTAATGGATTACTTTGAACTGTATAGTGGCAGATTCATGGCCTAGATACCTAAACGGATTATTGATAGGCAATACACATCACATTGGCGTTTATGACGAGTGCATTAGTGTGCATCAGCCTATTCAAGGAAAATATTGTTTGTCAAACATCGAACTTCGAACTTCAACTGACCAAAACTTCACACAGTACAGTAAAGATAAATATACCAGTTTCGATAATGCTTGGCAAGAAATACTCGGGGTAATTTAATTCATTCATTTTTGTATTTGTACATTTCATTTTAAAAAAAATTGTTGGTTGAAAAAATGTTAGGATTGAAAAAAAACTATAAATAGTGATTTTATAGTTGGATCTTATAATATACATTTGGTATTAAAACTTTCCTTTCTACGCTCATATGTTTTTTCCTAGTCATCTTTTGTATGTGACCATAAACCATATACGTATGCTAAGAATTAGCAAAGAAATCACAGGTATAGGTTTTGATTTGAAATTTTTCCATTAATTTTACAGCCTGAACAAAAAAGTAAATTTGATGGAATGCTAGAGGAGAACAATTCGCTTATATATTAAATATTAACAAACATATTTTTTCTTATTATGTCCTTCTACATTTTCCTTGTTTAATTTAACAGTTTATCGATTATGGTGATCGGTATAAAAGAAATGTTATCAAACTCGGCGTCTGTATACCAGAGGCGTGTACATCCGAAGATCTTGAAGTTTCATTACAAAGAGAACTGGATCGTATATTCCAAGCACATCAACTAACAACCCAAGTCAAAGTTAAACCAGAATTTTGTAGCACCAACATAAGTTTTTTCCCGTACGATACAGGATATTATGTAACTTGGTAAGCATGTTAGAAAAGTAAAGAAGGTGCTTGCATCGGAATTTTAAATATTTTAAAAACATTTTTAATGATGTTGATACCTACACTATTTTTGGGAATGGGTTCAAAAAGTTATTTAGTATTTTACGTAGGAGACTGAGAATTTCTAAATAGTTATATCACTATTTTAAGAATCTTATTACGTATTATGTTAACTTTAAGTATATACATTGAAACCTATTTTATTCAAATATTTATTCTAAACAGGTTTTCAATTAGTACATATATTGTATGCTTTGTATACTTTTTGTTTAGCATTATTATTGGATTGCTGATTTTGGTCGTTTCTTTTTCGACGGTTTACCATTTAGTTGCTTGCTGCAATGGACGAGAAAACAAACCGTGTAAGTACAATAATTAAAAACAATAACTAGTTATTTTCTATATAAATTACTATTATTTTAAATTTATATATTAATTGGTTCGTAATTTTTATTTATAACTAAATCTGTTTTTTTTTTTTTTTATAAAAATTAAATTTATTGTCATATAATTATAAAATTATACAACATTCATTAATAATAATCCAAATACGAACTTTAACGTTTTACATTTTTTATATTAATATATAAAAATGTTGTTCTATAATGAGTACAAAATATTTAATTACTATGAATGACTAGTAAAAGTGGTGTATCATTATTTATTGTCACCATCGCAATACTGAAATTGGTATGCAAAATTCTACCTTAGACGACTTAAGAAGATGATTTAATAAAATTGTAGCCAATAACATACCTATCCATAATCGTATCACATTCCCATAAAAAATATATGACTTTTTAAAGCTATGAATGCGTCAAAACTTTTGTGGAATGGTATATCCGAAACTTACTCAATTGATTTTTTAAAGCTATCTACTATCTATTTAAAATAATTTTTTAGGGCATGTTTTTTCAGCGCAAATTTTAGAAATTACAAATATATTTTCTGTAATAACAAACGGAAAAGATCTCTATGAGTTTGATAAGAATAATGAACTCAGTATATTTAACGGTGTGTCATCGTTATTAATGATGATGACGATAATAACACATGAATGGATAATTAGTATCACTGGTCCGTATTTGTATCCGAAACCAATAGAAGAGGTGAATGTGTATTTTATTTTTTTTATACATCACATACAACATATTATAAACACTTAAAATAAGTTATAACTGTTCTTTATTACTTTTTTTTGTAAAACCAATAAATTCCAATATACCTGATCTCATCCTTTTCATCGACCAATGATAAAAATGTACTAATGAAATAATTATATTTTCTTATCTTAGTTTTATCAAGATGCCCACTATAATTTATTTTTAAGTGTAAATAATGGAATTGACTATTTCCTATTTATTTCTGGTTACATCTTATACACAATTATGATTACCAAATTCAGAAAACCCGAATGCAATTGGTTTCAAATCCCAAAGATAATTATCTACAAATATCTAAAGTAAGCCAAGCCCTTCTTACAGTGATTTAATCTTCACAATTTACAAACATATGCCTATTATTTCAGATCTCTCCCGGTTCACGTCACAATGATACTTCTTACGATATTTATTATCCCTCATTTGGGAAATGGTCCTTTTTGGGCAAACCAAATAGGTCTAGATGCAAACAAATGCAAACAATATTGGTGGACTAACCTATTGGTTATTAATAATTTCATTGAAGGTGGAAAACAGGTAAGTAGTATAATCTGAATACTTCTGATTTGATAGTTTATATTTTGTTATAATAATTATGCCTACTGGAATTTTAGTGTCTCTTCGCTGGTTATTACACTTCATTACAACTACAGCTGATAGTTATTGGAATGATCGTTGTTTACATTTATGGAAAAAACCGTAAAATCGGTACTGGTGTATTAGCCTTGATGATTTCCGCGTCGTTAATCATTCCATTTGCTTTAACTTACTATTCAAAATCAGAAGGAATTACCAAATTCAATATATCGTATGTATTTTTGAATTCTTCTTATTTTATAAAAAAACAAAGTCTGTGTCATACGATAATTACACCCTAGTAGTTAATGCAGATTAAATCCAGTAGTTTAAAATTTATTGAAATATAAAATCACTTAAGCAAGTGAACCTAAAAAATGAGATAATAATATATTAAAGATGCCCAAAAAAATGTCGTGTAAATATTGGAGTACTCTTCGAAGTTTTTTTTTAAGCGAATATTCCATTTATATCCATCAAAAGCTTATTCTTTATGGCAGTGTACAAAACTAACAAAAACTTAGTTTTATCTCTAAATCAATTTCTTTAGATTCTATTAATATTCAATTAAAAATACATCTGTATCTTAATACCCTTATCAGTAAAAGAACGTTAACAATATTAATGTGTTAACTTTTTTTTTTTTTAATAGATTTTTGTTAAATGTAAGTGAATCAACTAATTCAAACTCATATTATTTCACAATTTATTGGCTTCTCTCAGTATTTTAGAAAAAGTACATCTGAATTATGCTTAGCGTGTACTTAGTAGAGTAATAGTAGTAGTATAGGCAATGCAACGTTAACGTTTTTAAGATGCTTACAATATATTTTTTTCGATAGGTTTTTGTTAAACTTAAGTGAATCAACTACGTCAAACTCATATCATTACACGCATCTATACAGCCAGCTCTATGTACGGGGTTTACCATTTTATATTGGGCTGTTAGCAGGTATTATTGTCGAAGTTTTAAAAAAAAAGGATATCAAAATGTCTAAGGTAATTGTATAACACTACAAATTACAATTATTTTTGTCATTTAAAAATAAATAATTTATTTTTTAGACAACTACTCTTATAACTACTATGGTCGCTTTTGGTCTTTACATGTATGTCCAATTGTACAGTAATGTATTTTATCAGAGACACAGGGATTACAATGCAATCGAGTCTTCTATTTATGCAGCCATTGGTCATTTAAATACGCCCTTATTCCTTATGTGGTGTGCTATCTGTTATACGACATCTAGTTATGGTACGCAATATCGACGCATTTATATTTCCATAATAATAAGTAATCAAGTGTATAAACTTATTTTCCACGCATATTTAATCATTGAAATATCTCCGTTTTCTGATTGTTTCATTTCTCCTTCATCTTTCTTGAAAAATTCATCCGAAAATAATTGATTCGTTGTGTATCGAATGAATTTGAGTACGAGATGTTTTTAGCAAGTTTACAGGATGATGTCATATGTAACGGAAAAAGCTCACTTTTTTCTAAAAACTTTTTTTTTATATATATGGCTACAATCTAGTGAATGTTAGTTTTACAGAAACATTATCCAAATTATTATCTTTACGCTAATATATTATTTTTTAACTTTGTAACTTACCTACTAAGTTATGTTTAAATGTATGTTATATTTTATTTTTCAAATCAAGAATAATTTACCAAAAAGATTTACTGGTTGGTTATCTGTCTTGATTTCCAAAATTTAGGAAGGACCAATCGTCCTGTTTGATTCGCGGTTGAGTTACGCGCGTTTTTTGAAGTTTTACCGAGCGTCTTACTTTCAAATATGTATCATCATGTAGAGGAAAGAACAATGTAACCTATTTATTTATTAATGTTATCAATTTCTCGTAGGTTTTCTAGAAAAATTACTGAACAATCGATTCAGTAATTCATTACACAAACTATCTTATTCAGTATACCTGGTCAATTGTACCGTAATACGTATGGTGGTATCCTCTGTACGGGCATCGGAAGTACTGACAACCCAAATGATCGTAAGTGATTTTTAATTAATATTTAATAGTTATAAATGACATAAAAAAAAATATGTTATTCAAATAATTTAACAAGAATGTTCAATAATAATTTATGACAAGTCTCATGCATTGAATTTTTATCTACGTTTACTATACTCTTTGGACCGTACAGTTGACATAACTTAGTCACTTATTGAGTGTGTATTGATAAACATTTTAATAATATATACATTTTTTAATTTTAGATTATGAAATGTATTTATAAAATATTAACGTCATATTTAGCGGCTAAAATAATGCATTTGTTACACCGAGTTGAATGATTTTCCTCGCTCTCTTTTTATTAGTTCCACTCGGGATATTAGCAAAGTTCTCGTTAAATGCTTATGCTGAATGAAATGTACCAATCTGGGATTTGTTATCTCGATAAAAAATATGTTATAATCTAGTGTGTGTACATCGATAAACATTTTGATATATAAATATATTTTTTAATTTTAGTTTATGAAATTTATTTACACAATATTGACGTCATATTTAGCTGGTCTAATAATGCATTTGCTTGTTGACGCGCCGTTTGGTTTACTAATAAACCGAGTTATTTTGGGAAGGTAAACTATACCAAACTTATTACTATAATCAAAAGCATGTATTTCTATAACATACGAGTAATTAAAATTAAACTTGTTGGTTATAGAAGATCTAGCAGAAAAGTAAAAGACGATTAACACGGAACAAATTCGAAATGTGAAAAAATCCACTGCAAAACAAAATAACACGACTAACCTCTAAATGTTTACTAACCTATATGTTTTTTACTATATTATATTGTTATCTGTTATAATTTATGTATTGTATACGTTTTGTTTTATTTTGAATTGTAAATTTCTATTTTTAATTATCATTTTTATGTGTTTATATATATTATTTGTGAAGGGTAAATGTAATTAGATAGGATCAGTGCGATGAGTGCAAGATTTTATAAAAAATAACCTTTCTTTTAAATTGATTTGGCCTATTACAACACCGTAACATCAGCTAGTTAAAATAAAATATGTTCAATTATTACTGTTCAGTGTTAGTTGTGTTTAATTATACACAGAGTGCCTACTTCATTTTGGGTAAAACACATGGTTTCTCGGAAGATATTAATATATCGGAAAAAAAAATTTCTTTTTCTCTTTTGACAAAAACTATATAAAAGGTAATTTTATACAATACAAATTCAACTAGCGTTTTTAATTTATGTTAAAAGTTTTTTTTCCGAAAACATTTCATCATTTGAAAACCAATGTTACCATGTCAGAATTATCAACGGCTTAGTAGTTTTAAGAACGAGCCATATCAATTACTATGGAAATGTATTTTCAATTGGACCCATGACCTTGCAATTATATTATGTCAAGGTGTAATTTATAAATATAATGCATTTAATTGTGTAATATCAATATTAAGCAGTTTCAATAAAAAGTGTGTTATGTTGTAATTAACTTCGAATAATTATTAATGCTTGTATTTGCATATGTGAGTTGATAATACTCAATACATCTGTTGAAAATATGAGTAATAATAGTTTGCAATATTCATATAACTACATACAAGTAATCAGTTATCACTTCTTGATAATACCAATATTGTTTTTAATTTTACTTAATGCCTATGTAAGTATATTATATCTATTTGATTAAATAAATCTAGGGTAGTTCAAAGTCTGCTTTCAGTTTTGTTATTTCTTATAATGCTCTTACCTAAATTTTGTGTGTCCAACATACATTACGGAAATTTGATCATAAAGTTTTAGGTATAACTAAACCTATTATATACAATTATATTCTCAAGTTGTAAAAACGTTGTAATGGTATTAATTTGTATTTAATGAATTCAGTAAGTCACGTAAATAGATTTTTTGAACTTTTCTAAGATAATAATTATTGTTAATTGTATTTATTGAATTTTATTATATCGTTAAAGTTGTTTAATTACAGCATCTGTTAAAAAAAAATTAACTTAAATCAGTTTTATATAGGTTGAAATTTTTTTAATTTATTATAATTATTGTTTTTGTTTTATATTTTTGATTGAGTATTTTCAAAAACAAGTAACATTTGTAATTATTAATTTATTAATATTTTGTTAGCTAAATACTTTTATCGTCTTTCAAAAGGGTAGTATTGTACTATATATGTAATCCTTTACTATCTATCCGCAGTTGAAATTTAGAGTTAGTTAGGCTTATGTCTTGGATAAACAAAAATAATAATTATAATAATCACTTGAATTATTTAATTAAATTTAATCTAATTTAATCATATAAGGTTATCACGTTACACTTTTTTGACTGACCACCAATTAAGAGAACTGTCTATGTCAATATTTTTTATGTGAGAAAATATTATTATTTCAAGAAAAATGTGTTTAGTTGAAATTATTAAACTAAACCAAAAAATGTACATGTATGATATTTTTTGTTACGTATCAGCAGTTTATATAAATACATATGGTGGGAATTGTCTATTATACGCGAGTGCTACACCGGCACAACTTGTCATTCGTAATTATTGTACTTACACTGTTTGCTTTTTCGTCCATTGCGTAGAGCAATTAAATAGTAAGCCGTAGAAAATGAAACGACCAAAATCAGCAGGCCAATAAAAATGATAATCGAAAAATATACCAACCATGATGGAAGCATCTTCCTTGCTTTTCTAACATGCTTACCAAGTTACATAATATCCTGTATCGTATAGGAAAACATGTTTATTGGTGTTACAAAAGTCTGGTTTAACATTGACTTTGTTTTTAGTTGATGTTCTATGAATACACAATCCAGTTGTCTTAGTAATGAAACTTCAAGATCTGCGGTATACACACTTTCGGTATATAAACACCGAGATTGATAACATTTCTTTTATACTGATCACCATAATCGATAAACTGTTAAATTAAACAAGGAAATATATCAGCACATATTAAGAAAAAAAATGTTTATTATTTTTTAATATATAAGCGATTGTTTTCTTAAATCCAATTGTTTTCCTCTAGCATTCCATCAAATTTACTTTTTTGTTCAGGCTGCAAAATAAATGGAAAATGTTGAAATCAAAACCTATACTTTCGTTTTCTATGCTAATTCATAGAACACGACGTATATGATTTATGGCCACTAACAAAAGGTGGCTAATATTTGATCCAGTAATAATATCACTATTGGAAATCTGTGGCGTTTCATCTCATTTTTCCCATTCTTCCAGCCAACAGATAATTAAAAAAAAAATGTTTTGATTTTTCTGGCGATGTTCAAATACAAAAATAAATGTATTAAATTTACCCCGAGTATCTATTGCCAAGCATTATCGAAACTGGTGTATTCATCTTTACTGTACTGGGTGAAGTTTTCGTTTGTTGAAGTTTGAAGTTCGATGGTTGACAAACAATATTTTCCTTGAATAGGCTGGTGCACACTAATGCACTAGTCATAAACGCCCATGTGGTGTGTGTTGCTTATTAATAATTCATTTAGGTATCTAGGCCATGATTCTGACACTATGAAATCCACTGTTAGCTATTAATGTTATTATTATTATGTTAACATTAGACAATAAAATATAATTAAATAAATTGTGTAGTATTATTTTTATCTGCGTGCATTTCTCAACTGCACTTCCCCTCCCATGCTAGCTTTTCAACTCTTATAACTTTATAAGAGTTATCCAAAACTGGTTATCGACCAGTCAATATTTTTAGTACATTATTTTCCATCTATAAAGTTACCGAAATGTATGCGTTGTCAATTAAGTTTCAAAATTTGCTATCAAATAAACTAAGTAAAGGGGGGGGGGGGGTAAAAACAAAAACAAATCATGAGAAATTGAGATTACGTTGTTTAAAAATACTATGGAAAAATAATATTCAATTATTAATTAAACCCAGTAAGATATTGAGTGGTTCACAATAAGTTGATGTTTAATTTCTGTTGTTACCAAAATGTATACATGTGGTATACATGAGGTATTTCAATGATCGAATACTTAGATACTTCTTATCGTGCACTATCTTATTTATCAATCCGATGAGTTTATCAGAGTTCAATTTTAGACCATACCGTTAAGTGGGAAACAAACCACATGAAGCAAAACAAGGCACAGTAACAAGTGTGGAAACCCGTCAAATGTATTCCCCGATTTACAGGTGTTCAAAAAACTTCTTGATTTTCAGAGCTCCTTTTGATTTTTTTAAATTTAAACTTTTGTATGTTATTAGGTGTAACTTTATGCATAAATATATCATTTTACCTTAAGTGGCTTGCGTATGAGTGATATCAACTTGTAAAATTTAAATGGGAATCCCAATATTCGGTTTGATTAGTATATTTTTTTTAAATGGTGGTAAAATTTTGAATCTTTGCCCATTAGTTATTACAATATTCTCGCTAAAATGTCGACAATTTGGTGACTACGTTGGCAGGAAAAAATACATTTGCAACAATAATGACTGATGTTATCGATCATAAATTATCGTTGTTATAAGATGGCCGACGGCTGGCAGGTAAATTACAGGACAAACAGATCAATTTATTAGTAAATAATACATAATTTAATACATTTTTTTAAACAAAAAAAATGTAATTTTTTTTTCAGGTTAACAATTTTTTTTCTGATACGGATTACCCATATTTCGAACAAAACCCCTTTCATAAACGATTATATTATATAACTATTTTTAAATAATTTAATATCCATATGTAACTTGATTTATTCTATTCTAATAATGAATTTATATTAAAAATCAAAGAACACAATTTATTGTAATAACAATAATGATGATAATAATTAGATATTATAATTGCCTTATACATACTTGTTGAATAACAATGAGAATGTAGATAACTACCCAAACTTTAAATAATGAAGCATATAATTACGCGTAAAATTAAAAAAAAAAAGTAGTGGAATATCCACAAAAATACCATGTACATAAAATATACCCAGAAGTTAAAGGTGTAGGTTATACCTACTTCATTTTGGGTAAAACACATGGTTTCACAAGATATTAATATATCGGAAAAAAAAATTCCTTTTCTCTTTTGACAAAAATAATATAATAGGTAATTATAGTATAATAGGTAATTTAATACAATTCGAGTTCAACTGGCGTTTTTAAATTATGTTTAATTTTGAAAAATTAGTATTACAATAAATACAATTAAAAAGATATTTCACAATTTTCAGTAATAAAATTTAATATGTTTTGTTGTATAATTATTTTTTAGTAAATTTTTGTACAATAATGAATTTAAATTAAAATAAAAACACAATTCATTGTAAAAACAATACAATGTCCCATTCCCAGCCAATGCAAATTTATAACTATAAATATAATGGCAATGATGAAGTGAATTAGATATTAGAATTGTCTTATAAATAGTTGTTACATAACAGTGAGAATTTAGACAATTACCCAAGTTTTAAATAATTAAGCAAATAATTACGCGTAAAATAAAAAAAAAAAGGAGTGTATACCTTAAATAGTAGTACAGTATGTATGGTATTTATGTAGTGTACACATAAATAGCAGTCATAAATACCCAGGAGTTTAAGGTGGTTGTAGCCATTAATTTACAAAAAACAGTGTGGTTAGCACAAATATTCAAAATGTTCCGAGCGTGGGCTTTATTAGCGTTTATTTTTCCGGTTGTAATTTTTTCTAATGAAATCGCTTTTAATAGTCAAAACGTTTCTACCGATACAAAAAACATAATTTTACCGAACACGATTAATTCAAAATTGGACGACAGTATTGCCACGGGACTCGAGCCGGTTTATCCTGAGAGCTGGTTAGCCAATCTCTTCTATCAATCGTTAGTGGGGTTCTCAGTCACTGATGTTGGAAATTCGGCTTGTCGACTACAGTCAGAGTTGTACTTGAGCCATTTAAAAAACAATTCCTACTGGGCAGTAAAAAGTAAGCGTTGGTCACTGACCAAGTAACTGTAAGTCTATGTTGTTGTATATTATGGTGACGTTAATAATTATTAGCTTCGATGTGGAGCTCAGAAGGTAGTGCATGTACAATGACTTTTTTTGTGTATATATTAGTGTTGTAATTCGGATTCGAATACCTAATTTTTAAACATTCGAATATTCTAATATTCCAATAATTATTCGAATATTCGTATAGTTGAAAAAAAACTATTTGTAAAATAATTATTATTACCATTTGAATATTCGAATATTTGAATATTTCCCATCACTAGTATGTACCCATGAAATCGTTTAAACCGCTGAACTTATTTCTTCGTGTAGTAAATCTATAAAACAAAAACTATACCTAAAAGGTAATTTTATAAACCAAAAACTTATGAAGTCACCCCTTCCCCATTAAAATTCAGAAAAAAATCATATTTTTAAACAAAACATTCTCCCATCACTTTTTTAAATGAG